TTTAAAACTTTAATTATAATCGATAATAATTTAATAAAATTTCTCTAACCATAGATGTTTCCATTTATTTTTTATCTCGCCCTCATCAATAACCTAACTTCTATAACATCAATTTTATTTAAAAATAAATAAATTTTTTGATTTTCAATGCCTATATCTAAAAAAGTAATATAATTAATAACTAATAGAATAATAAAATTAAAAATGAAATAAAATAAAATATAATACAAGCAAAACACATTAATAATTATAAAAGAATGATTCTTAACATAGTAATTTTTATGACAAATATATGATTTGAGAGACATGACTAAAAATTAGTAAATTATATAAAAAAATTGGTAAAAATATCAAAATTTACACCTAAAATAATATATAACTGAGAATTAGTATATATTAATCAAAAAATAAAATCAAAGTACGTGAGAAAATAATATTAAGTTAAATCATTGAATTAAATAATAAAAATATATATATTAGTCCCGAATCTCTAAAAAGTCAGGACCGACGTATTTTTTTTGGAGAAAAGGAAATATCTTAATCCAAAAAATCAGATGCAATATAATGTCGATCCGAAGATCCAGGCCCAAACAACCACACACAATAAAAATGCTAACAACCTACGTTAAAAGAGAAAATAAACAGCTCTAATTTCTTTTTCTATACTTCTCCATGCACATATTGACTCTATTCTTTATCTCCCCTATATGCAAGTACTCTTTAGTTTTATTTTGAAATATCATCATATTTTGGGTAGTCCGTATACTATATAACATTTCTGCAAATATCACTTTGATCTTTATACACTTCATAGATTTTCCTCTTGTCTAACCCAATTCATATCCAAATCTCAATTATTGGGCCTATTATGAATCGCAATCCAGTCCAACATTTGACTCCAAATATTCTTCACAAACTCACACTCAAAGCAAAGGTGTTGACTGCTTTCTTGCTTGCCACAGTAAACGCAAACACCATCAGTTTGAACTCCAAATTTGTTAAGTCTATCCTTGGTAGGCAATCTCCTAGGCATGCCATCCAAACTACAAAGATGTCCCTGGGGCGTGCAAGATTCCCCAAAATAAGCCTTCTCCAACTAACTTTAGGCTTATCCCCCTAAGCATCTTATACATATCTCTAGTACTATACCACCCCCTATTAAGAAAGTCAAACCAGAAAACAGAATTTATCATTTCTACCTTATGTTTGAAAATGGATTTCAAGGTCCATGAGGCATGATTAGGAGGCTGGTAGGTATTGCAGTTTGCTCCTTTCATATAGTAGTGATGTATCCAAGTGATCCACATCCTGTCTTTCTCCGCATTCAAGTCCCACAACATCTTCCCAATAGAAGCTTTATTCCATTCACATAAAGCAATCATGTTGAGGCAACCCGCCACCTTCGGCTTGCAGATTTGGTCCCAGACTACCGACGCTTTCCTACTATCGAGTCTCTTCTAGTCTAGAGAAATTTTCTACGTGTTGAATAATCTTCTTTAGAAGAGGAAAATTTTGCATCCAATAGTTAGCAATAGAAAACAACACACTTTTCACAAGGAGAAACCTACCAGCATAAGACAGGAGCTTAGTACTCCAATGATTAATACGCCCAAGCATTATGTCAATAAGCGACCTGCAATTCAAAATGGACAACTTTTTGCAAACCAGAGGAACTCCTAAATATTTAAAAGGGAGGTTACCCCTATCAAAATCAGTAGCAAGTTGGATAGCCTTTATATTATCTTCCTCAATCCCCCCAAAGTACACTTTGCTCTTAGGCACATTGATATTCAAACCTGTAGCATCCGAAAAATCAATACGAAGAGAAAATGAATTATAAAATAATTTGATTATTGAATTATTTTATATATATTAGTATCAATTATATTTAAATATAATAATATAGTAAAACAATGAAAATTAATATTTAGCATTATTTGCTTTTAAAATTCTATTTTAAAAATGTAACATAATTAAAGATGATGTTAAATAAATAGATAAAAAGAGTCAAATAAATTATGTAATAGTATGTTAACTTGCATATTTTTATTAAAAAATAAAATCTTTTTTTATAATAATTAATTGAGTAGTTTGATTTTATATTGTTTATAACACTGTACCTTTTTTTAATCAAACTTTGAATAATACCTAAAAAAAGTATTTTTTTTTTTTTATTAAATCACTTGACTCGTAATTATACCAATATATGACTAGAAACTTCTTGAAACGCCAACCAAATTTAATTGACTAGACTTAACTTATTTTATACGAATCTTTCTTGTATTGAATCTTTATTAATTAATGATATGAATTGAATTTCTTTTTGTCGAAAAAGAATAAGTCAAATAAATGTTAAATAAATTATTTTAGACTGTTAAATAGCATATTTTTATTTAAAAAATTATATATTGTTATAGTAATTAATTGAGTAGTTTGATTTTATATTGTTTATTACACCGAACCCTTTTTTGAATCAAACTCTGAACTATACCTAAAAAAAAAGTCTTATATTTTTTATTAAACCACCTCACTCATAACCATACCCAATAAATATTAATAACTTTCTACCACTAATATCCGAACATATATACTTTTCAACTAATTCAATTATTTATCTTAATATAGTTTTCTCACGTACTTTGATTTTATTTTGATCAATATATACTAATTCTTAGTTATATATTTTTGTAGGTATAAATTTTGATATTTTTACCATTTTTTTTATATAATTTACTAATTTTTAGTCATAACCATATATTTGTCATAAAAACTACTATGTTAAGAATCATTTTTTTATAATTATTAATGTGTTTTGCTTGTATTATATTTTATTTTATTTTATTTTTAATTTTATTGTTTTATTAGTTACTAATTATATTACTTTTTTAGATATAGGCATTGAAAATCAAAAAAATGTATTTTTTAAAAATAAAATTGATGTTAAAGAAGTTAGGTTATTGACGAGGGCGAGATAAAAAATAAATGGAAACATTGTTGAAGAAATTTTATTAAATTATTATTGATAATAATTAAAGTTTTTTAAAAAGATTTAAAATATGTTATTTACATATCAAAAATACTTGCCAATTTTCAGCTCAGATGTCCAAAATCGGGGTAAGGAGGCAGAGGTACACTAAAGGACAATGACATGAAGTCGGATCATACTAGAAGCATTCAGATATAGTTGCGATCTCACTGGATTAACTTTTGGAAGGTGATCCAAACGTGTTTTTCAGAAATATTTGACGCCTACGGTAGAATCTAGGTAAAACTTTCACAATCCACACAATAATCTATCTATGTCGTTCTTAAACATGTATGAGGCATCATCCAAAAGTGAGGACCCCCATAAGATATGGCCAAATTGTTAGCAATGATAGAAACCTTAAGACACCATAAAGAAAATCTTCAAGATAACATCTAAACAATACAGACTCCAACACTATGAGATGAGGATGTGGAAGAAGAACCCATGGATCCTCAACCTTAGTAGAGACTGCATAGGAGAATGTGGAGAACGAAACTCTTTAAGATAGCATGCAGACACTACATAGACACTTTGATTTAAGAATAAAAACATATTACATATTACTATTATTTTGCCTCTAAATTGGTGTTTTACCCTACTGCATACTCTTAGAGTTTGCTCCATTATTCTAAGAAAGAAAATAGATAAGAAAACAACGAAGAATTTCCCTACCTCAGCAACAATAGTCTTTATAGTTTTTAATCGGTGGTCTTTTTTCTACTAAAAATTTATACCTTTAAAATTGAATAATTACTTCTTAGTTTCAAATCCACTCATTTGTAACTCTTACTTAAGAGTTGGACTTGGATAAGATTTGACTTACTACTAACAACTTTGTCATTCATACAACTATTTTATAATAAATCATATAAATAATTTAATAATTTTAAAAGAAAAAATACGTTTGAAACAAAGTCATTCTAATAAATATTTCAAAGGAAATGACAATTTTAACTTTATTTTTTATTAAAATTATAATATTTATAAAAAAAACATTTTAAACCATTTCAACTTTCTAATTTAAATCTAGCACAAAACATATTTTTTAATAATTTTCGGAAGAAAAACGTTTCTATTAACAAGATGTATTCAAGAAAGAAAAATAAAATTATACACAAATGCAACAGCCTCAGGTAAAAGGAAAAATTGTCAACTATTATTTTTCTTTAAATTATATTTTATCAATTACTGAAAAATTTAACTATAGACCAAATTTAATATTTAAAATCAAAACTTTATACGATATTTATTTTATAAATATTTGTTTACATATCCTTACAACATCAAATATTTTGGACTCGCTTAAAAATTTAAAAGAAATTTAAATTACACAATCCATAAATAACTATTTTCAAAGAGTCAAACCCATGAAAAATATTTCAATAACTTTAATCAATGTAAAATAATTTTTAACATTTCTAACATTTTTTTTTTCAAACTTCTAAAACAAATTTCAAGAATCAACTATAACACATCACATAGTAAAAAAAAAGAGTTTTCACTATAATAATAGTTTTAATTTATATTAATTTTATAACAGATACACAAGTAAACAATTATAATTTTCTCCACTATAAAATAAAACTATTTAACTTAATATTTTAATGACCTAATATATTTTTTATTTTAATAGATAATAATCAGAAATTTGGTTATGCTAAATCAAATATTACCAAATTATGTGAGAAAAAAAAATAGTATGGTGTCTTTATGCGATAGAATATTTTATTGTTTATTTTCTAATGATTGAAACAATATAAAGATTCATCCTAAAAGAAAAAAGAAAAATTGTGCTACATATTATAGAATATTTAAAAATACATTTGTGAAAATTGTGAATTTCAAATAATTTTATAAATATGTTTAGATTATTATTTTGTTCTCATTACAAATAAAATTATAGATTTGTTACAGTAAATAATAGCTTATTGTTTTTTGATGGCATGAAACACGAGAAATTATTAGAAGATATCTAATAGTGAAAGTTATTGGATCTTTGACTACACTCAAGATTTTGTGGTTGTTTAGCACAATAATCATAAATCAAATATTTGTCCCTCACATTTTTGTAAGCTTGAATTTGCTGATAATTTAGCTCCCAAAATTTTTCATGATTCCACCAATATCTAGAAGAATTACATTGTGTGATATTGGTACTGATACTTTGAGTTTGACAACCATTGATGCCAAATCCTTTGTAGTGAGCTTGAAAAGGTGCATCATTCCAATTAATTGGAATTCCACCAGAACCCCATGGACTTGTCCATATTGTTGCATCAATCTTCATTGCCTTTGTGAAATAACTCCCTCCTTTATTTGTTGTATTCTTGAACACTCTTATAGGTATTTCATCCACAAAAAATCTAACACATATGAAAATTGTTCTTAGTAATAATATTATAAGATAAGAAAAAGAGAAGAAGAAGAATTATAATAATTAAGGTTACTTACACTAATTGTTTTTCATTCCAAAGAAGCGTATAATTATGAAAATCAAGAGTTGGATCAAACCAAAGATGAATTTGTTGCTCTCTATTACCATATCCATTAGTAAAAATGTTTGTGTGCAATATATAAGGTCGTTCGTTATTTCCACCTAAAAATTCAAAGTCTATTTCATCTCGAGTAGGTCCACCATCTGAAATCAACTGCAACAAATGAAAGTGAGATAAATTACTTAAATTTTAAAACGACACTAAAATCAAAATCACAAAAAATATATATAAAAAATACATAGAAGGTCGTGATCACAGCTGTAGAATCCTTTTGAGGCATTTTAATTTCCATACTAAACACTCCAGAACCATATTGTTGCCTCGACGTAAAACCAGAACCTGTAAAGCAAAAACAACCATATTATAATTTATGTATATCTAAATAATTTGTATAAATATCTTACCTGAATATTGATTGAACGTAAGTTGAACTTCATTGTTTTGGTCAAGAATCATCATGTTTTCTTCTCCCCATAGAGAAACATAGTTTAGTTTAAATGGAATATTATTCAAATGATCACATTTGATGTGTAATGGAGAAAGAACAAAACGAAATAATAAAAGTGATAGACTAAAAAAGCACATTCTGATTTATTTGTTATGATATGATGGTAAGACTAATGTTTAAGTATATATATATATATATATATATATATATATAAGTATATATATATATATATATATATATATATATATATATATATATATATATATATATATATATATATATATATATATATATATATATATATATATATATATATATATATATATATATATATATATATATATATATATATATATATATATATATATATATATATATATATATATATCCAATAAAGATAAGTGAGAATTCCAAAGTCTAAAAAACAATCATTTTTAATATATTTTTTCATTGTATTTATTGCTAGTGAAATGAGATAATGTCACCAATAATATTTTTAAAATAGTGGGCCTCTTAATTATGTATAATATTAATATTAGTTACACTTGACATATATTACTTTTCACACAAAAAAATATTATTTTGAAGTATCATATGAATTTTATATTTATGTCTTGTTATTTTGACGATGGGGTATTGCAAAAATGAAATGAATATTTATTTGTTTGTAAAAAGATTAATATAACGAATAGGCCAATAAATATTCACTTAAAATATAATATTTAATATCTTTCGATACGATAAACTATGTATTTTTAACGATATAGATTTTATCAAATATCTCAAATAAAAAGAGCTATAATAAATGATAAAAAAATTTATAAAAAATTTAAGGGTAATATTAACTTGTGTCCTAAGAAAACGCGTTAAAAACTTAAAAATGGAAAATTTATGTCCGAAAGAGCAATAAAAAAATTAATTATCAACTTTTAACAAAAAATATATGATTTAAAATTAATATATGTATTTCTTAACATGTACTCTAAGAAGACAAGTTAACATTATCCAAAAATTTTAATAGGGATACATTCTAAAAATTGAATTTAAACTTAGAAAAATCGTATTTTATTCTCAATTAAAATATATGTTTATATTATTTTATATGGAAATCTTAGTATCTGACCTTATGATCGACTAATTTAAGAGGGATCAATCTCGCCATTCATTAGCGGATGCACCGTTTAAAGTCAAAATAAATTTCTGTATGAACTGATCCAACACAGCACCTCTAGAGGAGCTCACTCTCAAGACCCAAGCCTCTACCGCTAAACCAACTCTTAAAAGTTAGATGTGTTTATACTTAATTGTTGATAATGTCTAAATCATTTATTGTAATTGTTGACACTTATCATTTGTGACTCGTGATAATAGAATAAATCTCCATTTATGCTTTTAAAACTTAACTACCACCCAAAATTCAAAATAGTCACTTATATATATTTTTATTCTATAACATGTATCTTCTTTTAATAAATAAGTAAGTAGCTAATATATATATATATATATATATATATATATATATATATATATATATATATATATATATATATATATATATATATATATATATATATATATATATATATATATATATATATATATATATATATATATATATATATATATATATATATATATATATATATATATATATATATATATATATATATAATATATATATATATATATATATATATATATATATATATATATATATATATATATATATATATATATATATATATTATCATCTTCTTTTAAAATATATTAAAAATTTTAAGTATTTATTTATTTATATTTAAAATAAATATGAGCAAGTATTTTTTTCAATAACAGAATTATGAAACACATATTTTTCAAAAAAAATACATGATAAATATTTATCATTCATACAATAAAGTTAAACGACAAATATATTTTTTTACAAATTAATATAAAAAAAAAGGAAATACTCATCAATGATTAATATAAAAAGAATAAATAACTCATATTGATTATTGATACATGAAAAAACATGTGACAACCTATTTGTGTTTGATTAATATAAAAAATAAGGAATATACTTATCATTGAGAACTATATTTAAGAATTTACAGAACAAATAATTTTTAAACAAATATGAAAAGTAAAATACAAGACTAATATTTGAATTAACACCCATAATTTGATATGAATATTTAAAATCAAATTATAATTATCAAAGTTATTACACTCAATTATAATTTAATTGTTTACCCATTTGGTATGAAACATATTTTTTATTATTTATGTTATTGATTTTTGGTTATATTTATTTAATAAATAAATAAAAATATTATTAATTTTATATTTTATTGTTTCACACACACATCACTCTCAAACTTTCATGTAATATTGGTTCGGATATAAAATAAAATATAAATTAACATATTTTAATAAACACCCCTCAAACTATCATGTGAATTAATAAATATAATAGTTATATAACGACATCAGATGTCACGTATAGATTTATTTAATTAATAATTTTTTAAAATAAATATATTCCGTATAACGATAAAAAAATTTATATTCTAAATTAACTATTTTATTATATATAAAATTATTAAATCATTTGCAGTTTAAATTAGGAATAATTTTAACTTTTGTAATTATTATTATATATTTTACTACAAAATAAATTTAATTAATTGATATTAATTATTAAAATTAACAAAAAAAAGTGAGTGGAATGCAATATAGCGATAGTACCGTAATTTTTTGTTGTTGAAGAAATTAAAATTATATTAACCACTAAGAAGTCTTTCTAACACAAGGAGTATGAGAAGAACTACAAAAGTATACTTACATCATCAATCAAACTAAAACGCTAAACCAACATAACCAAAAACCGTCAATTAAATAACGTCTATTATAAGACACCCTCTAAACATTGTAAAAGATACAATCTCCAACTCTTATAATCAACTGTGAATGAACGGAGATAATATTTCATCCACAAGAAAGAGAGGAATTTAACCTTTTCACAAATAAAAAACAACTATTGACTAAGGTTATGAAAAAGCCATTGATTCTGCATTTTTCAAATGCTCCACATTACTATTACCTAAACAATGTGCAAGGCGTTACAGCCTGATTTAGTCCACCCTTCCAAAGCCACAAAATGATCATGATGCTCTTGAAGGTGACCATGAAAAACCGATGTAAAACCAAACCAAACTGAAATCACAGGACAAAAAAATTACCATAAAAATCACATTTAACAAACATATGTCCCCTGTCCCCATGCTGGCCACACTCTGCAATATAATGCTGCTCATGATCACTAATAATATGACATTTCACTAAATTATCCTTTGTCGGTAATCTATACTGATATAACTTCCAAACAAACAAATTAATCTTTAGCGGCATCGCCTTAGACCACCAGACGTGAGAGTCTCTGAGATGATGAGGATCCTCCACCTTCGTCAAAAAATGATACGTACTACTCACATTATACCGCTTTGAAGGATGAATGCGCCACACCCAAGAATCATAAATCGAATACTTCAAAACAAAATAATTCAAAAACTGAATACCCTCCCCAACTAAATCCTCCTCCTACCACGTAAACAACCTCCTACGCCAACTTCAAGTCTCTCCCTAAACCCCCATCCTAAAGCACACATATCCGCTACTGTAGCACCCTTATGCTCTGATAACTCATAGAGCCTTCAAAATCTAGATATTATCACCCTTCCTCCAACCAAGGATCCCCCCAGAACAATGAGTTTTCCCCATGAATACCGATTTCTCAATGTTATCTATCAACCACCCACTTCCTTGTTTGATCCTGGTCACATTCTGCCACCAAACAAACCCTTATTCTACCCCGAACCTCAATCGCCCCCTCTTCACCATAACGATGAGCTAATACTCTATACCATAGACTTCCCCTCTACTCTAATACCCTCCAACACCATTTCTCCAATAACGCCTCATTAAACTCCCTTAACCTTCTCACCCCAACCCACCATCATCGTTACTCTTACAAACAAACTTCCAACCTATCCATGTTATTTTCTTTGGACCTTCCCTCCCCCACAGGAAAGCATTAAATAAAGATTTTAGGGAAGAGATGATACTTGTAAGAGCCTTGAAGAAAGAAATCAAATTGTAATGTAATTTTTGGTAGTATACAAATGTAATTGTAACCAACTCAATCCTACTTAGTAATGTTCTTTCTTATCATTGGGTCACGGTAACCAAATCACACAGTCGATGGCCTAAAAAAATAAAGCATCAATAATTTAAGTGGTGGATTTTGTAAAATTAAATAGTAATATGTATATGTTATATTAAAAATTTAATATATGTTATATCTATAACGCAACAAAATAAAGTTTTTGCTACAAGGTTGGGGTCGCGTGTTCGAACCTTGACTCCAGCATTTATAATTTTTTGTAACTCTTTTAATAAATTTCCACTATGTTCAACCAAGCTAATGGAATTCTTTACCCGTATAAGTTTTAATATTTATATATAATTATTTCTTTATCATTGATTTTTAATATAAAACTTAAATAATATTTAATTTCATAGTTAAATAATAATAAAAATGTATATTAGTCTCGAATCTCTAAAAAGTCAGGACCGACGTTGACTGGGCCTAATATGCGCCATATTCATTGTAAGAGAAGAAAAATCGATACGAAGAGAAAATGAATTATAAAGTAATTTAATTATTGAATTAGTTTTGTGAATTTTTTTTTGGAATAACTAGGTATTAAAAAAAATTCGCAAATAACCATGTTTCAGAAAACCCCATAAGGGAGGAGCCAACCCAGTTGGCGCATGCACTGAGTTTTAAAGGGGAGGCGTCATCTCACTTGGCGCCTATGTGTAAAAGGCTTGCCCTAAGCCAAGTGAGATGGCGCCTTAGTGCAAAAGGAAGGCAATTTTTCGCGTTTTTTATTTTAAATGCGGTACGTTACATAAACGATATAGGATCAAGAAAATTGAATTTTTATTTACATAATATGATTACACACATAACAATTACATAAAAAAATACAGATTAATCAGTGGTCCCCCAGAACCCGATAATGACCCCCAGCTCCGCATCCTCGTCCTCGCCTTTCCCGTGCTGGGTTTCGTCGTGTTTCCTGTTGTGGTA